CCAGAGCTGCTGGAGGCTCCCAGTCTCATCTGAAGGGCTCTGGGATTGTCCATCTCCTCCCACACAGGTGGGTGCTGCTTCCTGCCCTGTCTCCTGCCTCCCTTCCTGGCTCTGTTTGTGCCAGCTCAGGAATTCAGGTCAGGGCTTTGCCCTGGAACAGCCCCAGGCAGTTTGGGTGGGAGGCTGAGGAGCACCTTGGGCTGACATGAAGCCTTTGCATTTTGTGACTGTTCCAGCTGGGCAGATCCCGTGCTCAAGTGGTGTAAACTGGCCTCTCTCCTGGAACAAGGCACAGCCTGTGCCCCCCGCAAAGGGGGATGGAAGCATCACCGTGAGCCCTCCCTGCTCTGGTACATGGTGATGTGTCCCATCTGATTTGTTCTGTGCCCTCTCCCATGGTGGGTAGCTGATCAGACGGGTGATAGCAGAGACCTCCAGCGGTGGCATGACAGCCAACGATGTCATCATGCACTCCGTGCTCCCAGATCTGCCCTTCGGAGGTGTGGGTGAGTCCCTGCTCCAGCCCCTGCACCCGCATTCAATCAGCAGCAGCCTCTGACCCCACCCAGGAGCTGTCTGCCCATTTGGCAGTTCAGGAATTTCAGCTGCATTTCCCGTTAATGTGTTAATGTTTTTTGGGGTGGGTTGCTTTGTAAAAAGGCTCATTAGTGTTTTGGTTGTTAGGCCTCCCAGTGAGAGAAGAAAACCCCCTGGCACACAAGTGAGCTCTGGTTCTCCTGTGCTGGGGTGTGGGATGAATTTGTCCATGGGTTGGTTGAGTTTCCACAGCTGCTGTCAGGCTCCTGTGGGCACAGGGCTGAGGTCTTGGGTGTTGCTTAATGTCCTTCTCATGTCCCACTCCTTGAAACCCCTGTGAGAATTCTGTGGGAAAAGCAAGGCTGGCTCTGGGAGGAGATAATTGGTGTCATTAACATTTTAAGGGTGAGTTTACATGAGCAGCAGTCCAAGGCAGCGAGCAGGCCCTCACTGATTAAAAAAGCTGCTCTTTGCTCCTCTGCCCTGAGAAGCAGCATGAGCAAGCTTTCCGTGCCAGACTGAGCTTGAGAAAAGCAGGTGTCCCTGTGCCTGGTGTGAGCTCCCTGGCCGTGTCCCTCAGGTCACAGCGGGATGGGCGCCTACCACGGCAGGCACAGCTTCGAGACCTTCTCCCACCGCCGCGCCTGCCTGATCAAGGACCTGAGCTGGGAGGCTGTGAACAAGCTGAGGTACCCACCTGGCAGCATGGAGATGGTGCATTTGGCCAGGCTCTTCCTGCTGAGGCAGTGTAACAGGAGCAGAGTGGGACACTTCATCTCGGCCCTGCTGGCGGCTGTGAAAGTCGTGGTGGCAAAGGTGAGCTTTGGGTCTGCTGTCCCTGTGGGTGTGTGCTCCCAGCTCTGTCCCCTGAGCCCCTCCTAACCCTTCAGCACCCCGTTGCTTTGAGCTCTGCTCCCTCTCTGGAGGACTCATCCCTGTTTCTGTGCCTTTCCAGGTGTTGTACCCCCAGTGAGAGAGGTGATGGCCAGCCAGCCCTTGGACCCGCTGCTCGCTCCCTGCAGCCCTACTGCTGAACTTTCCTTTGCTGCGATTTCATTTCTTCCAAGGCAGCCAATGCACTGGTGAGGTAGAAGACAAAAAAAAAAATACACCTAAAGCAGAGACCCCCCAAGTTAAAGGCTCCAGCTATCCAGACCTAGTCCGTGGATCATGCCTGAGCAGTGAGTGGCAGATGGAAGGAAACAGCACCCACCCTCCTCTGTAAACAGTAGCTCCTCTAAAACCTCCTGGGAACGTGGGAGTGTTTTTCACTGAGCCTGTTACCTCTGTAACACCTCACCTGATCCCCAGAGGAAGCCGCTCATCACAGCCATGAGCCTGGGAAATGAGGGTCTCGCTGCAGGGGACAGTTCAGGCTGGTTGTCCCTGGAGCAGAGGGAAAGGAGCCTCGAAGAACCTGCAGCATCTCATCCTTGACTGATGGGTGATGCTCTTTGCAGGGAAACCACCTTTATTTATCCAAGGTGTGCAAAAGCCACCTGAGCTGTCCCAAGGACTTGAGAAGTGCCAGGGACTGTTGTGCTGCTGTATTTGGGGCTACTGGGGCAAAGACAGGGGCACTGCTGCAGCTGGAGTCCCAGGTCTCAGGCATCCTTGGCCAGAGTGGCAGAGCAGTCACAGCCACCTCTGTATCTGAATTTCAGAGGTTTATTCATTTATGGATAGTCTTTTACCTCCAAACTTGTAACTGAGAGCTGCCCTTGACCCTTGCTGAATAAAACCTTTATTTTGCTGCGAAGGCCACCTGAGGCAGGGTAAGACCCATGTGTGGATGTTCCCTGTTCTGACCCCAGCCCTGCCCTCAGCCTCCACCCCAAGGAGCCAGTCCCACTCTAGCTGGGTTTATTCTTTATTGGGCATTTGTCATGGAGCAGCACGGGGAGCTGGGCTGTGCTCAGCTCCAGTGGGTGCTGGCAGCGTGGGCTGGGGGATCCCACACACACTCAGCGTGTCATGCAGCTCAGAGCAGCATTTTGGGTGCCAGAGCATCCTGGGGGCTCGTTCCCAACCAAAATCTGCACAAACGCTGCTGAACACTGACAGAGGCCCTTTGGTTCCTGCGGGACAGGCGTGCACTCAGTCTTCTCGCTGGCTTGTCCGTGCTTGGTACGCCTGTCCCTCAGGAAAGGCTTTTGCCCAAAAACAAGTCCCCAGGGTCCTTGGTGCGAGTCAGTCTGTGCTAAAAATCAGCTTCATGGTGATGCCGAGGGCCAGCGCGGCCATGGCCGCGGCCAAGGCCAGCCCACGCTGGAGGATCAGCTGCTTGGTGACCACGGCGGTGGCCGGAGGGGAGGTGGCCTCCCGCAGCTCCAGCTGGTACGTGGGTCCCTCCGTCTTGGTGATGCCCATGAGCACGACATCGTTCTGCACTTCTAATCCCGCTGCAAGGAGAACGGGCCTTGAGGGGTCTGAGGGGGACTGAGGGGTTTCTGAGGAGGCTTTTGTCACAGGGCTGAAGGCACCTTAGGAGCAGTGGAGATCTCACCAGGTCCTGCCCCCGGAGGTGAGGACTGCCCAGAGGTCCCTCTGCCAACCTCTGTCACCCTCCCGAGCCCACGCTTGTAATTGCTGCTCTCCCAGCAGCTGAGGGTGTCACCAGCATGATGCTCTCCCCCATTTTGTGGGCTCGTTTTTGAACCTTTCAGGACCCCTCCTGCACCAAACCCTCCCCTGCACGCAGGGCCCAGCTCCTGCCATACCAACAGAGCCCAGCACCGCCCTGGCAGGGAGGTAAGTGTGGGGCTGGGGGGCTGGTGCCACGTCCAGGTCCTTGCAGGAGGCTTCGGGGCCCAGGCTCGGCAGCTCCGGCGGTGGCGGCTGGGTCACTCCTGCGCGGCGCTGAGCCTGGCGAGGGAATGTGCTGGCTTCAGTGGGGAATTGTCACCTGGCAGAGCTGTGCTGCCTCTCTTGGGGCTCCCTGGAGCTGTTGAGGCACAAGGCGATGCTCAGGGCTGAGGTAGCCCGGGTCACCCTGTCTGCTCTGAGCTTTGTGTCCCCAGATGAGGTGCAGGGAGAAACCTTGAGGCCACTGAGTGCTTGTGCAGGAGGAAGCTGGACACAGGGATGTCATGGGAGAGCTGGGTTTTGCTCTGGAGCACTGGACATGAGATTGAGCCTGTCTCATGCCAGCAGGGCACTGAGGACATTCCCAGTGCAGGGATGTGCTGTCAGTGCCCCGATTACCTCCTTGGCTGCCTTCTCCCAGTCCAGGCGGGAGATGTAGGTGAGGAAGGAGGTGCAGAGGATGAAAACACAGACGAGCATCGCGACCCACAGGCCTGCAGAGGGCACACAGCGTCAGCCAGAGCCAACCCAGCATCCCAGGACAGCAAGAAAGGGAATGTCACCCAGGTCAGTGGGGACGCGGGGTGCTCACGGGTGCCTGCTTTGGGGTTACTTTTCCCTGGTAAAAGCTCCCAGCAGCTGCAGGAGCCATCCCAGCCCACCCCAGTGTGTTCAGACAAGTCAGCAGGGGGACAGAGCCAGGCACAAGGGTTGTGGTGAGCCCCCAGTGGAGCTGCCCTGCCTGTGGCAGGGGGGGTTTGGGGCTGCAGTGCCCAGGGGTCAGTACCTATGACGCCGATCCTGGCCACGAAGAGCAGCACAGCTGCCAGGGGCATGCCCACACCGTAGTAACTCACAGCATTGAGGATGGCACCAAATTTCTGCTTCCCGACGCCTCTGAGCACCCCACTGCAGGCGCCCTGCCAGGAGAGGGAGAGGGGCTGGGGCAGGGAGCATCACCTTGGCACAGTTCAGGAGATGACCCAGCTCCCTGCTCTGCCCAGTATTTCTGTGTCCCTGCCCAGTCCTGTGGGTCAGCATCCTTTTATGTGCTCGATGTTTTCTAAGGGATGATGCCAGGGGTTCTGCAGGGTGGTGGTCAGCTGCAGCCTGAGGGACCCTTGACTGCCTGATCCACCATGATGCTGCTGAGCACCAAGATTCCCCATGGAAAATAGCAGCATGCCCTGGGACTTACAGTCATGGCTTCAAACAAGTGGAAGACAACATAGATAGGCATGACCCACGCCACCAAGTCAACGATTTCCCTGGGGATGGAAGAAAGCCAAGGATCACTTTTGGGAACAGACATCCACACACTGAGGCCAGGAGCCTGGGGGCACTCACTTCTCCTTGGTGAAGACATATCCCAGCACGTTCCTTGTGGCAGCTAAAATGGACCCCACAATTACGGAGAACACCCCTGAAAACACAGCACAGAGCTGAGCCCAGCCTGGCTGGAGAGCAGGGAGAGAAGAGGCAGGCAGAGGACTGCAAGCACTCCCTGCTCCATGGGAAGGAGGCCAGGAAGAGGCTTTCCAGGCTGTTGTGGACTAACCTGTGCAGATCAGGCTGGTGCTGGAGGATCTCTTGGCTGCCTCGATGTTGCCGGCGCCCAGCGCGTTGCCCACCTGCACGCTGGCAGCTGTGCCCAGCCCCAGGGGGATCTGCAAGCACAGGGCTCACATGTGTCTGACAATGGAGCTGTCACAGTGATGGGGGGGTACCCACCCAGCAGAGAGCAGGATGGAGCTCAGGATTGGATTTAAAGCATCTCCGTAAGGAGGGGTAGGCAGGAGAAGGGAGAGATTCCAGTGCAGAGGGGGAAGATGGGGGTTTGCTGGAGCAGTTTTTGCTGTGTGCCTGTCTCAGGATAGCCCACATGGAGCCCTGGTGTGCAGTGATAACCCAGCCCTTACCATGAAAGCCACAACAGACACCTCATAGATGATGGACTGGACAGAGAGCTCGACAACGCTCAGCAGGCCTGTGGGACAGGAGGGGTCAGTGCTGGCTGTGGGTCAAGCCTGGCCATGTCCTGGCAGCTCCTCTCTCCACTGACCTATCAAGAAGCTCCCGATCTCGTAGGTCCACCACTCGATGCACATCATCAGCATGCTGGGGATAGCCAGGGAGGTGAAGCTGTCCCACTCCAGCAGGCACTCGCTGGACCAGCCTGTTGAGAGGAGAAGGGACACCTGAGGGATGACCAGACTGGCCATGTGGTACATCCTGCACAGCACCCAGGGCAGCTGGAGGGGCCATTCCTGTTCTGAGAGCTAGCACTCCACAGGATCTCCATCAGCTCAATGTCCACCTACAGCCTCCGTGCTGCTGCCCCACGGGCCACAGAGCAGCACAACCCTCCCAGAGCAGTGTCCAAGGACAACCTCCTGCTGACATCTGTGCTCATCCAGCTTTGGGGCTGAAGCTTGCAAAGCCTCAGCAGAAAGTTTCATTTCTGCAGAATTAATGTTTAGTGCTGATCACACAGCTCTGCCAGTGCTGGTGCGTGACGAGCGCCGCTGAAGCAGCACTGAGGCACCCGGGGCACCGCGGGCTGGGGTTAATGTTTCACCATCAGGATGAGCAGAATTCCTCTTCTACCAAGAACACCTGATACAAGTTTTATGGATATTTCTGAGTAAAGCAGGACTCACAGGGAGCAGGGGAGATGCCCTTACCTCCCCAGGTATTCACGTGGAGTTTCCTGCCTATGATGTACAGGAACAAGAAAATGGTTTGTGAATACTGAGCGATGGTGTTGGCCCAGGCAGAGCCCCTGCAGAGGAAGTGAGAAATGTCATTGGCATCCTGCTTATGCCTCCCTCAGGGTGGAAAAAGACATCCTGCTGTACTCCTGTGAGCTCGGTGTTCCTTTGCCATTGCCAGGTGCCCTGTTTTCCTCTCCAGGGGGCACAGGTGCTACTCACATGATGCCCAGGTGGAACTTGTAGAGGAGGAGGTAGTTTCCAGCCACATTGACGAGGTTGCCGATGACCCCACTCAGCACCAGTGGCCACATGATCATCTGCAAAGAGGAGGAGATGAGGGGGTCTTCCCAAAGGTTTTAGTAGGGAAGTGTGAAGGTCCCCCCAGCCCCACTCTCAGTGCCTTTCCCAGAAAAAAAACCCCAGACTTCCAGTGATGTCTCCTGCTTGGAAAATGAGTGTGATGGATGTAAATCCCCGATGTGGGGAAGTATGAAGGGAGGTGGATGGATACAGCTGGCTGTGGAATGGGGTGATCTATGGGTCAGAGCTGTTTTGGGGCACCTGGGAACAGTGAGCATGGAAACCCTGGATGCACTGTGGAAGGGAGCCCTGAGCCAGGGTGGGTGTGAGGACTTTGGGACTCACCTGGTTCTGCAGGTATCTTGTCTCCAGGTTATACAGAAAAACCGCCTGCAAAGGAAATTTTGGATGAGATGAGCCAGTGCTGAGCTGCAGGACAGGGGCAGCCTGTCCCCGTGTGCAGGTGGCATCCAGGGTGCCCAGGGGCACTCACCGGGAGGGCAGGGAGAAAGGCGTTCACGTAGTGCTGGGTCAGCCTGTGGGCACAGAGAGGGGTCAGGGAGGGCCATGGCCACCCTCCTCTCGGCCCCTCCACACCGGGGAGGGATGAGGGGACCACCCAACCTGGAGACCTCGGCATCCTGCTGCATGAGCAGCATCAGCTGCTCGACGTTGATGAGGAGGGCGCAGCAAGGGAAGCAGCAGAGGAGGATGATGATGGTGGCCCGCTGCAGGATCACCCCCACGCGCAGCAGGTTCTTGCTGCCATAGGTCTGCAAGGTGAGAGGGCAGCGCTGAAATCAGCTGGTGCTGGGGGGAAAGGGGCCCTGAAGAGTGTGGAGCAGCTCAGATCACCCTGAAAACCTCCTGTGAAGGATTTGGAGGATGAATCTCCTTGCTAAGGGATTGTTACATGGGGATAAGCTTCCCCAACTCGCAGG